TCCGGTTCAGCACTTTACCACGGATAGCTGCGCGAGAAATCTGGGGCTCTATCCTGTGATCAGCAGTTTCGATCATATTTGTGTCATGCTTCAAAGTAATCAGTCACTGGCATTCGGCTGTAATCTCTTGCAACGTCAACTGTGGTTCTTGTTCGAGCTTGTAGAGAATTCATGTTCTAATATCGGCATCAGCGTAGGACTGGAGACTGCACACGAAAATAAGACTCTTGAATTGATCAGGTGTCATCATACCCAGTTTGAATCGTTCACATTCGCGATTTACGATCCTGGCATGTGTGACAAAATCAATGGCATCGCGTTTGATTAAATTCAAACAATTGTAGCGAACACTGAAGAGAGAGGCCTGCTCTCCGAATATCTGCATCAGCGTTTTCACCGTCTCATTGAAGCTGAAGTCTCTTGCATTCTTCGGCAACACGAAATTTGTGTAACGTTCATGCTCGACTGCACCAAGTTTCTACAACAACAAACAAACTATCCAGGCATCGTCTTGGTCTGCAAGTTCCACTGGAAAATATCTTCATACTTTAAGAACCAGGATTCAAATGTCAATCTGTTCAATCCATCGAAAACAAATTCTGTGATTGAGGCCGCAAGGGCGTCCACTGATGGCCGTGCAGTTGTCGTCGGGGATTCACTTTGGATGCTCAGCTTCTGATATAACAACTCCATCAACTGTCGTTGAGATTATTCAAACTGGAGTTGTTGCTGTTGAAAAAGCGTCTGCATCTGGTCGAACGAAATCGACATGATTACCGGAACTTCCGTCGCCAGAAAATTTGTTGTGTCGCCGCTGACGCCTTCACCCCACGACCGCAAGAAGAAGTCCAAAGACGAGCCAGAAGGAGACTTGTATACATGAAATCACAGTTGCTTATTTAGTTTGAAGGTAAAATGAAGGGAAGCTACTAAAGTAGACTTGAGCCAACCAACTGAAGGAAAAACGTCAAATGCAACGGCGAATAAGCAACCGTGTACCCAAGAGCGAATCGCGTATGTCCTTAAAAATAGCATCATTGGACTCCAAGCGTAAAGCGAACGACCATTTACAGTGACGGGTATTGGCCAATCAGAATCACGAAATGAAACGTTTAAACAAAGGTCACGAAACAAACGAGAATAAGGAATGCAGACCAAAAAGTTGAAAACTTGTACAATAATTGTGTGACAACTAAATATTCTTTTAACATAACCAAGTAGAACAGTGATGAGAAGAAAAACCCAATAGAATACGTTCTTGCAAATGGCGCTGCTGAGAAGAACATGACGATGAGCGTCCATTAACAATGACGTGGATGTACCAATCGGGCTAACCCAGGAGAGCGTTTAAACCACAGTCAAGAAATAGAACATAGGAAGAGTAAAGAATAGCTCTCAAGCTCGTTCACAATAAATAAATGTATAATAGCTGTTCCCCTAATACCTATTACCATTTTATATGACACCGTTCGTTAGAGAATTTTAGAGACACTCCGGAAAACCTAAGCTTATTTCGATCCAGCGTTTCTCAACACAGCTGTGAAAGAATTTGTGATCTTTCAATCTGTGTTCAGTGCTGTGTTCAGATTCAATTGGCAGGTTCTAGTCGTTCGCCATTCCTTGTAACTTGTCAGCCGGTGCGCTTGTATAACCCAACACAAGAACCGCGCGACCACGAAGACCGCGCTATGACCTTGAAACCATCACGCTAGCCTGACCGACATGCGCCACTCTCAAATTTGGAAATGTGCAGAACGCAAAACAACCCATGGGGTCAGGTAACAACACCACGTTGAATGGCAGAATTGCGAATCCAAATAGGCTCCAATCGAAAGACATTTGCGTGTTAAGAGAATGTCAGCGAGCAGTTAAAATCGGTCTGACTTACTCGCACTGTTTGGAATGATATCATACGAAATGGGCCAATGTGTCGCAACAACAGATACGAGAGCGAAATAGCTCCCAAGACGCACTTTGTTTCTGTAATGTGTGCTCCACCATCCCACCCGTTATGTACTTGCTTATCCTATTTCAGAGGTGCGACTGGTTATCCGTAGCATCCGAGCAGATGACAAACGATAAACTTACTTTAATGGAAGCTAGTACGCACCACAGAAGCGTAGCAGCCTCCAAGCAAGGGGATGCTGCACAATCCGCTTCCCCTAAACCGCAATAATCCACGTCCCCATCTCCACTCTCTTCTTCAACTTTGGTAGAATGCCGGACGAAAACTGCCCGTACCTACGAGAGTCAAACAGTACTCACGGCAACGAAAATCAGGCACCACTCGAAACGTGGGGTTAAGCAACTTCTACTAGACTTGACATCTAGCACTAACAAGTGTGAAATAGACGAACATCAACCATCGATACCTCTTGCTCAAATGTTTCTTTTCAAGACCAATTAGTGGTCAGGGTTCGGATCTCTTTCTCGGACCCCATAAAATATGTGTGTGGTGTGCCGCAATGCTCAGTTTTATGTCCACTTTTACTTTTGTGTTTCTTAATGACTGCACAGGAAATCGCTCCAAACTTCCTATTGCTTGCCAAGGATACCAGAATTTGGCGCAGGATCCAGGTGAACGCCGACCAGCATCTGATTCAGAGTTACATGGATAGGGTACATCAATGGTTAACCCAAAATTTACTACATTTCACTGTCAGTAAATGCAATTTACTTTCCATCCGACATCAGAGCAGCTACTCATACCGTCTCGGGACGAAGGTACGGCAACCATCAACTGTCGAACCTGACTTGATTTTCCTGGTTCCACATGACTTGGGTTACTCCAGGCAATCCGAAAAGTCCTCGAAGACTGCTAAGCAACACGTCGGGCTGCTGCGACCGGCGTTTGGACAAATAAACAGCTCCATATTTCGACAAATTCCCGGTGCGTATTTTCGCCCCCATGTCGAATACGTAATTCAAGCCTGGCATCCATGGCTGAAACATGACCTTAATGCAATGGAGCAGTCACAACGTCGGACATCTAAGAATGTACTTGGAATGTGTCAGCTTTCATACCAGAAGAGGTTGCAACGATAATGTGTATTCATTGTAAGTTATCGCAGACTACTAGGCGATCTGATTATGGCTACTTGATTCTTCTCGACCCACGTGATATGCGCCGTCCTGCACTGGGACTCAACACCAATACAATCCTGGGGGGCCACTCATTGAAACTCCCTGCACAGTATAGCCGCCTGGAGTGCCACAGAAATTTCCTTTCCATTCGTGTGTCACCCGTGGAAGGTCCCCCCCCCTCAGAATCTGTCGTCTTTGCACCTACACTAACAGTATTTCAAAGACGCTTGAATGATGTACTCATCCACTTCTACTTTGTCACCTGGCACTACGTCTCCACCCTTCACCAGCAGTTTACCATGGAATTACTTGACGTTAACTGTGGGTGCTGTGAATCTAAGTGGATTGCAGGACTACGGCGGAGCAAAGAATAAATCCTTATTTTCATATTTAAAGTATTAACTGGTTTACTATTAGTATTGTTATCATTTTTAATATTTCGATATGCCCACCCACTATCCAATGGGACTTGTAAAGTAACGCTTCTTAACCCGTATAGATTCATTGTTCATTTTTCATAATGTGTTGCGTTCACGGGTCTGAATACTGACCGTCAAACTCGCGTTTGCAGTTATAGCTGGTGAGCTGCTATATCGATGCGGCCGTGGCGCCGAGTGAGCTATTCACGATTCAATACGCTTGTATAAATAAAGCCTACTTGAATTATTTGTCGTTGGGTTCAGGAGTGTGGAGCCTAAGTACCCATCCCAAGAGACACAATTAGTTTGGACAAGTTATTAAATATATTCCAAAAAGATATGCGCCAATGAAATTATGTGCTGATTTAAGTGAGCCAGTTGGGGAATACAACTAAAAATTGAAAAGTAGCATAGAAATTAACTCGCAACTGGCAAAATTTCCACTGCCATTTTAAAAATATTTACGTCAGTTGCGCTTAAACTCTGGTATTAATCATTGTAATCAGAGTTCAGAGGTTTGTTCCGTAAGGTTGTAAAGCGCCCAAAATACTCGAAGCCGAGTTACATTGTATACACCAGAAAAGCGGCCGATTGAATTTGCACACATAGCTAACTCCGTTGCCATGACTGAGTTTGCGAGTGATATAGTGCGTGGATAAGCAAAGCGTAGGATGGATGTGCAAATACAATTGCACCCTCTCCTACAATGGCTTTTGTTAGTGCTAAGGTCAACCTTACTCTAGCGGAACCCACTGCCTGGATGACTTGGAGCCAGACATAGCGACGAAACTGCAGTCTCAGGTTTTAACTTCGTGTCAAAAGCAAACAAGCAGCATGGTCCGAGCCGAGTGCCCAACTGACTGCAGGTGAGCGTGTGCAGTTTCGGAATGTTTTAACAAACCTATAAAACCTGCTTTATTTCTACCACACTTGGCGATTCCTGTTGTCTGGCTGACAAACGTAGAACGTTCGTGAAAGTTTTGCTACATATATAAGCACATGTTCCGACTCTCTCTGGTATTTGTGTATTTTAGCATTCACCCCTTGTGTGGCCTGGTGTTTGCTTCCTGAACACACTCTCCTTGACTCATGTCACGTGTTTTCGTTTACGACGGCGTGCCACTAAGGCTTCTATGGAGGGTCCTCCAAGTCGGAATACCACTAAAACCTAGCAGCTGGGTAAGCTGATTACTTTTATGTCCACTTGAACAGTTTTTCGGCAAATTGCGCTACCTGGTTTAGGGTGCTTCCTTAAGTGTCTTAATTGTTCTGTCATGAAGTAACAGTATTAGGAATATACCGGGGAATTTGTCGGCGCAAAATTCCACAATGAAACATGCAGTGGGTGCTGGGACTGGTGGTCATATGAGATTACATAACCCATGTCCAGCTGAAACACGCAGGTAGCTTTCTCAATGATAAGTTGACAGCAGATAATCGTGTGGCTAGCCGGTTGAAGAACATCGAGAATAGTGGCAACGAACAGACAAGAGGAACTCACTCCATTCCTCGTTGAGGTAGTAGACTAATGTCACACAAGTTGTGTTCGGATAGCAAAAGGACCATAACCCCATTTGATGCGGTTGTCTTACTGGGGAGCAAAAACGAGGAGAATTATGCACGGATATAATGGCAACATATCGGTGGTTAAAACTACAATTCAGTGCATTCATTAGACACGTAGAATCAGGGATATTCACGATGCTGTCAAAGCTTTTAAAACTTCTACAACCACAGTAACTGGGAGGTGGTCTATATGAAGTAGTAATTTCGGCGTCCTGGACAGCTGCCTCACACATATGTTAAATGGCTCGACATGAGAAAGTTAGGGTGGTGGGCCAAATGCGAATCCGAAATCCTTTTCCGATAAGTGGAGGGTAGTTGCTGTTCCAGTCTGGCTGCGAAACTAAAACCTGCTGCAAATATTCTGTGTAGTTGTAACTGTTGAAGCTATGCGCCACGTTACTAAGTTCGTCCTCCTAGCTGAATCTGTCGGAAGTACACTCAAACAGTGGTTCCTTATGTAAGAAGTTTCATGACTTTGACCAAAAAGCACGACGAGGGAACTAGTAATTCGTCACCTACATCTGAACCGTATCATTGTACTCACCATCTCCGATCCACATCCATGCCGGGCTTGCCAGTCCAAATATTGTCACACCAATGCCAAAAATGGCCAGACAAAAACCCCAGCTCCTTGTCCGAGTGAACAAGTCATGTTCATGGTAGTCTGCTAGAAGTTGCCACTGCTGAGTTGTTAAGTGGATTGTTCTTGTACGATTATTATACGCGGATTGCTGTATAACTCGATGGCTATTCGACTCACGAGGAGCATCGCCTTCTTTATTTGGGTCGTTCTTGGTGATTGTTGCTTGCATGGCGATTTGAAATAGTCGTAATGAGCTGGATGCTGGCGCTCTTCCATGATGTGCTGAGGTTGTATACGCCGGAGAGGTTGAATATAAACGGTTTCCTTGGGGCAATCTATCAGAAGCATCGTGTGGCACATCCATCTGGAAGATACAGTCAGAGCAATTGAAGGTAGGCGGACACTTTTACCGTGGTTGTCTGACTGAAGGTTCAACTCAGAGTAGTTACTAGATAAATGTGTTAGAAAAATCAGAATGCTGCTGTGCACATTTCGGTACCCGCATAAAGGGATCTAATGTTTTGCATACCTGTGCAGTATGGCGCCTATTTGAGTACGCCATTTGATAGCCAAGTGGCGATTTGATTGCTGCGATTAACGCATGGAAAACTAAGGAATTAACTTGTGATCATGTCTGGGCTAAAGCCGGCAAGTGCAATGCGATCAGACTAAAACGTTAACCTTCTAGGAATCTATTGCTCAGCCCGCAGACTTTTAGAATGGTTCACATTGCGTACTGTCAAAACAGAGGTTAAGTAAGCCGTGAAACGAACAGACCCTACAAATGTCTCCTTCGGCCCAGCGAAGGACATCGTGTTAGCGATCTAGTCTTGATCAACCGGTGCTCAACGGACAGTCGTCACACATAGTTGCAACATGGGTACTTCAGAACAATCTTGCAGCTAATAAAACTTGTTCTTTTAGACAGAACTTGCGCTTCATTAAAACTGCACCAAGATGCAAAACAAGAATGCGAACCAAACTCGCTTCACTTGGATGAAAAATTAACCGTTCCATGCTTAAGCTAGAATACGTCCATTGGGAGCTAACTATCAAAGTAGATCGGTTCCATCGAAACAGACAGCCCAATCAGTTGCAGTTGGAAACTACAACTGGTTTTATTTAGGAGGAGAATATGGACGGAGGATGAAGTATGTTGCTGTGAACATTTCAGAGAACACCCAGAAAGACAACATGAATCCTGGTGCAAAGGTGATTGAGGGCTTTGGCATTAAACAGTTGTACCTACGAAAGTACTCCACGGCAATTACATCGCATGTGTTTCGTGGAGCCAGGAGACCACAACTTGGCGAAGGTTTCTCAGGAGCGTGACCTGAGTGTATAGGTACAGGAAGATCTTGGGTGTTCAAAACAAGCAGAGAAGGCGAGGAGAACCGGAAATCAACACTTCGGCCTTTTTCGCAGAGCCTTCGGTCGGTTCGAACCCTCAATATTTCCCCAAATGCTTAACTCGTACGTGCGACCTCACGTGGAATATGCTATTCAGGCGTGGAAGCCGTGGCAGAAACAGCATCTCGTTGCTCTCGAGACTCATCAACGAAGGGCAACCAAGAATGTTAGGGGCGTCTTTCATCTGCCCTATCAGCTTGGACTGAAAGCTCTAAGAATCTACAGCAGTCGATATCGGCTTTTGCGGGGGGGGGGTCTCATAATGGTTTACCAGATTCTGAAGAACCCAAGCCACATTTTCCGTCCGCTGCTGGAATTGAACCACAACACTAAGCTAAGAGGTCACGCTCTGAAACTGACAATTCAGTATAGCCGGCTTGAATGCCGTAGAAATTTCTCTTCTCTCCGCGTGTGTGAGCTTTGGAACGCCCTCCCTAATTATGTCATCTCTGCTTCTAATCTGGCGATATTTAAAAAACGCGCTGACAATGCATTTTCTCACTTACATTTCATTTTAGGACTTGTTAGCCAGGGGCTACGAAACGCAATCAAACGGTATCTTGCCAAACGCCTACCCAATGGATGTATGGATTTATACGTTTAATACGCGAACATCTCCGCTATTCCACATAAGTCTATGGTGAGTCCACCACAAGGCTTTTCACTTTATTATGCAATTGATTTTCGTAATAATTTCCATCCCACGGGACTTGTTAAGCGATGCTTGTTTACCCGTAATAAACCATTGTTCCATATCGCTTTCAGTTAAGGGACCCCTATGGGCTACCGCTGGCCTAAGTACCCGTATGCGGTCCTTGGTTTCCTTACTCACGAGGCCTGTACACAAATATGGCAGTGCAGAATTCCGTCAGAGCAGTGAGAAGACATAAGTTGCGATATGTTAACATTTCGATTGTTCTCTTCAGTCGCAAACACCATACAAGCGGGATCCATGAACAGTTATATACAGGGGGAAAAAGTTGGCACACCAATCAAAATGTAAAAATCAAGACCACGGTAACCTAATTGAATGTCTCAATAGTTTCTGTGCACACAACACAGGTTGATAAGCCCTAATTAGCAAAGCCTCGCTAATTGCCAAGATAATCGGATTGTTGTTGCGCAATAACACCTTGAACGCAGTAGCCGGGTTCACCTGATGTCGGGTTGCAAAGAGATGCTTGGTGATAGATGATGCGGGACTCCTGTTCCTCCTCGGATTCACTCCGTCTTGTTGCGTCATCAGTTGCTCCAACCACCTCGGTACATGTTCAGCTACCCTCTGAGCTAACTGACGGTCAGTCCTGCCTATGTAAATGTCACCGCACTCCTGGCCACGTATTGCCTAAAGGATTCCTTTGAATTAGTGGAGACAGTGGAACAGATGTCGCTGGGTGCGGAGCACATGTACTCAATAGACGTCGACTCCCTATTCACAAACGTGCCTCTGCGTGAGACAGTTGACAATTTGTGTGATTTCATTGCGAGTCAAAACATGTATGTTGGCCTGCCGTTGGAGTATTTGAGGGATATGATTCTACTATGCACAGAAAATATACGGTTCGAGTTTGAGGGCACTGCTTATAAACAGGTCGACGGCGTCGCCATGGGTAGCCCTCTTGGACTAGTATTAGCAGATATTTTTCTCGGCCTGATAGAAAGACAAGTTACTGCCAGCATTGGTGAAGCTACGTTGTACAAGCGGTATGTGGACGACATCCTAGTCTTCACCAGCAACGAACATTTTGCGCGGCTATTGACAGTTCTGAATTCAATTCATCCGAATCTATCGGTGTCCCATGAGTTGGAGCAACAAAATAGTCTGCCATTTTTGGACGTACTCATTAAGAGACGGACCGATGGTACACTACAGCGCACGGTTCATCGCAAGGCCACTTGGAGCGGGCAGTACCTCCACTTTTCCAGCTTTGCCCCGGTCGCATACAAACGTGGCCTAGTGAAAACGCTTTTCTACAGAGCAAGACGGATATGCAGCCCCGAAATGTTGCAAGCTGAAGAAGACTTTTTGTTCAAAATCTTGGTGTCAAATGGGTATCCTGAGAAGTTCATTCAGATCCACAGCAGGCCTCCCAATGAGAAAATACCGGTGTTAACCGCGGAGAAAAAGAATGTTTACTTGTTCTTGCCGTTCAAAGGAGACCATGTATCGAATGATATCGGACATAAACTCCGGTCCGCCCTTACGCGCACCTACGCGACCGCTCAGTTGCGACTCATACATACAACACGAAGCCTTGTTCTTCATGGCCGTCAGAGCAACTCATCAGTCAGTTCGGCCTCTCACGTCGTTTACCAGTTCACTTGCGGTTGCGGTGACATTTACATAGGCAGGACTGACCGTCAGTTAGCTCAGAGGGTAGCTGAACATGTACCGAGGTGGTTGGAGCAACTGATGACGCAACAAGACGGAGTGAATCCGAGGAGGAACAGGAGTCCCGCATCATCTATCACCAAGCATCTCTTTGCAACCCGACATCAGGTGAACCCGGCTACTGCGTTCAAGGTGTTATTGCGCAACAACAATCCGATTATCTTGGCAATTAGCGAGGCTTTGCTAATTAGGGCTTATCAACCTGTGTTGTGTGCACAGAAACTATTGAGACATTCAATTAGGTTACCGTGGTCTTGATTTTTACATTTTGATTGGTGTGCCAACTTTTCCCCCTGTATATAACTGTTCATGGATCCCGCTTGTATGGTGTTTGCGACTGAAGAGAACAATCGAAATGTTAACATATCGCAACTTATGTCTTCTCACTGCTCTGACGAAATGGCTGAAGGGGACCCACTGTTTTACCTTTCTGAAAAGTGCAGAATTCGTCTGAAATTCTGTACAAGCAGGATTAACAATAGTGTAAATGATGATGAGCATATTTCGACTGATGAGATGAGTAAGTAATTAAATTTAGTGGAGTGTTCCCCAAGCGTCTTTCCGATCTTTCAAGCAGTCAACTTCGTCAGGCAAGTGTCTGCCGACAGAGTGGTCAGCCGAATGAAATGATGTGGGAGGGGGGTTCGAAGTAAGATGGTTACGCGTCCTCCGGGGTACCAATAAGAAAGCCCCAAGGGACGGTGTCGTACGTGAATGCGCCGATATGGCTTCCGGCGCTAAATAAAGAGTACAGATTAAGATGAGCTGAAATAGTTGAAAGACTTTCATACATCATCATTCCTTTGAGGAATGATCTCAATCCCCAGCATAGCCTAATTTCACCACAACTGCTAGGACATCAGCACTTTCCCAAGAATTTCGTCACAACCAAAATAGCATAACATGCATTCATGCACTATGTTGCCTGAGAAGCACAGGCGCTGTATTATTGTCATCAGTTAACATAATGATTAATTAGTAGGAAAAATCTTCTTTTCTCTTTACTGCACTGTATATTTTTGCCGCTTGCGTCGTCTTACACAACTGCGTTGAAATCAGTGTAGGTCAACGAAACCTGAACCATTCAACTACGGTATAGTACCGAATATAAGCCCCTCCATAGAAATTCCACAGCATAAATTTACAGCATCAAAGTCGTCCAAAGTCGTAAACCCCCATATTAGCCAACCATCAAAAAATTATCAAAAAGAGAAACTTAAGTGATTTTTCGATTTTGACGTCAGCACTACCTGCTCTCATCCGAGTGTGTTCAAGCGAAGCAAGCACTACTCTTGGTCAGTTGTGGTGACCATAGTGTTATAATCGCGGTTAATGGGGCTAAAGTCGTCTGAACAAGCTTTCACCGCGCATGAAGCAGGAAAAACAAACGAACCACAGTAGACCATTGGGAGTGAGCGAAGTTCACAGTCAGGGAGGTGGAGACAACATCGTATCTGATCGCCTGGCGTAACACAATGTATAGCGCACTTGCTAGTCTACCGAAAATAGCGCTAACGCGACATCACGTGATTCGGCTGAGATGGAA